TCCCGATTCGTCATCATTGCAGGATGTCAGACCCTTAGCGGCCGCCTGCATATACGGGCTGACGGCGCAGCTCCACAGAACTGTTTCACACCGTAAAGGTTTTGAGTTGGGTGCGAGTGCATGCATGTGCCGCGAATGACGACCACGTACATTGGTTCGTGCGTTTCATCGCCAGGCCAAAGTCGCTATACCCACAAAACGCATGTCCGGAGAGGCCCAATGTCGGACATGAGTCGGGTCGTAGCTGTGGTCCAGGTGCATGCGAATCTATAGGTCTCTCTCTCTCTCTCTCTCTCTCTCTCTCTCTCTCTCTCACGAGGGCAAGCTTTCCAGTTCGCATCCCGTACGAGTTCACCCAGCTCGTACGAGGGCTTGATTTGCACTCCTGCAGCTGATACGAGGGCTTGATTTGCAGTTCGCATCTCGTACGAGGGCTTCGTTTGCAGTTCGCATGGGATGCCAGTGCCGCCAGCTCAGAGGAGGGCTTCTCTTGTAGTTGGCATCAGTTGGCAGCTCTTACACACACACAGGCAGCTTCGTTTGCAGCTCGCATCTCCCACAAAGAAAGGTCTCTCTCTCTCTCTCTCTCTCTCTCTCTCTCTCTCTCTCTCTCTCTCTCTCTCTCTGACGAGGGTTCGCATCCCGCACAAGTTCAGCCAGCTCGCACGAGGGCTTGATTTGCACTCCTGCAGCCCAGATGAGGGCTTGATTTGCAGTTCGCATCTCGTACGAGGGCTTTGTTTGCAGTTCGCATGGGATGTGAGTGCAGCCAGCTCAGAGGAGGGCTTCTCTTGCAGTTGGCAACAGTTGGCAGCTCATACACACACACAGGCCCTAYTGAGGATACCCACACACGTCCCCTWCACCTTACGACAGCAAGCCAGTGCAACGATACTTGAATGGCGGACAGCCTCAGGCACAGATAAGGTCTGCCCAAACACAAGTGAGGACTACAGGCACGAATGACTTTCGACCTCAGTCSCTATAGAGTTTTKAACCTCACACGGCCTGAAACCACAGACACCCCACTCTCCCACAAACACGCATCCCGTACGAGTTTTCAACACAGTGCCGCATCTGCTACGGCGTGGAATTGAACAACCGCCTTGAAGTTTCGCAGACCCTTCCTCCCAGACAAGGAGAGAAAAGAAAAGAGAGCACACCGACCTTGAACCTGGACAATGCTACGGTGCAGGTACGTTCACCCTGGCCCACGACCTTTTTCTACTTTGCACGGCTTGACTGTCTTCCGGCTTTTGTGAAATCTTCCCCCTTTATGCGGATGGTCGTTGTCAGGAGGCAGCCACCATCCCATTTTGGGTGCCTCGTCATCATTACCCCCGACGAAATAGAAACATTTTCCCGAGAAAACAAACTACCCAAAAATACTGAAAAAGGCTTTTCCATTTTAGTTTCCCTTTGTGTTCCATTATTTTATTTTTTTTCCGTCTGTCACACCGTTGGACGAGGCCCCAGATTTCACAGGTAATTGAATTAGCTGTTCTTTCAAAAAAAAAAAAAAATAATAAAAAAAAATCCACCCGGAAATGTATCGGACAGCATCAGTCAGCTTAGCTTTGCGCTTCAGAATAGACTACTCGGTCCCTGGACCTTTGCCCTGTTGGCCTTGCTCTGAGCAAGAGAAAAAGAGGAAAAACGAAGAAAAGTTTGCCATCACGAACGCCAAACAATCCAAGAAGAAAAAAATTGTTCTACGGATCGCTAATTCCTCCCCGCTCCTTCCCTATTCCACCTATCTCGGTGTAAAGTGATTTAGCACTCCCTCCTCTTTCAAGCTCCTACCTACTCCCTACTTAACCACTGGCCTAACTCCATTCTCTCCCCGTCAATCCTCGCCATCGGCTCCCTCTGGCACCATCTGGCACCACGTTTCCTTGAACCACTACAGGCCTGATAACTGCCATTTCGTCAAAATGGACATCTTTTATTTTTTGAACGAAATTGAAACTGAGTTTTTTGGCCCAAAACTTGTCAAAATTTGCTGTTCCTGAGGGTCCGGCGTTTGTAAAACACTGGACCCCTGGCTGTACATGGACCTAGCTTGAGACCAGGTACTAGTACCTGGTCTCAAGCTAGGTCCATGTACAGCCAGGGGTCCCGCTGGACCCTCAGGAACAGCAAATTTTGATGAGTTTTGGGCCAAAAAACTCGGTTTCAATATCGTTCAAAAAATAAAAGATGTCCATTTTGACGAAATGGGCGTTTGATGTTCTGTTCCTCCTGGACTTACTGACTCTTCTCCTCCAGTCCGCCAAAATTGCTCTTCGAAGGAGTTGTTTGAATGTTCTTCTGATCCGTTGGTTAGACCACTCCTTGGACTTGAACACTCTGTCATTCCTCTCCTGCCAAATCACTATGAACCCCACCGCCCTTGTAACTTGCGCTACGTAGCCCCATCCCTTTGACTTACTGTGTCCTTCATGTATTCCACCCAACAGACACCATTCTTTTGTCCATGCAAACGCTCCGTTGGTGCAGCTCTCCCAGAATCTGATCCACCAGACCCAGATCATGCAAGAGGCTGGACAATCCCACCACAAATGAATCGTGGATTCGAAAGCCCAATCACAGCTTATGCATTTCAGATCCACTTTCATCCCCCTTTCCGCCAGCCACACCACGGAGGGGGTCGCCACCATTGACACCAGCCACAAAGTTGATGCTTGTCTTTGGCATGGGATCTCTTTCAGTTGTTCCCAACAACATTTGATCGAGGGCTTCGCTAATCTGTGCCGGGTCCATAGCCAATAGTTGCAACCATCGTGTCCTCGCCACCACTTCTGGATGTTTCACTGGAACAGACAGACGTTCTCCCCTCGCCTTCCCATAGCCCTCCACTCCCACATTCTCCAGTTTCAGCTCTGCTATTAGCTTTCCATTAGCTACCAATTCCATCGCTCGTGTTCCCTCCTGGTCACGGGGTATCACTCTGGCTTGGGACAAGGCCATAGTACCCAATCTTGGTTGAGACCCTGGCTCTGCTACCTCCAGCTTTTTCTTTTTCTGGTGATTCCATTTCTGGAAGATCCTTTTCTCCTCTGTCTGTGTCTGTTTGAGATCCCCGAGACTGAACCCTTGCTCTTCTTGCTGAGTATACCAGGTGCCTGGATAGGCCGCTGATTCTGGAGACATCAAGATCTTCCATTCCTCCGGAATTGCTTCTATTACTGTTGCAAGTCTTTCCTGTACTTCCCGTAGCTGTCCCAGCTTCGTTTTCAGTTCCCCGCTTGCCATCCAGTTCTTTACAAAGTTATCCCGTATGTCCCTGATCCTGAGCACTCCCTTCTCTATCCACGATCTGCCAAAGCTCCTGTTGTGTGAATCTGTCGCGAACCATTGTCCATTAACCGTTCTGATGTTCGGATTTTCAAATATGGATTGAGCCAACACTTCGACTTTTGTTGTAGGAGTAACCCATACATTCGGACTCAACTTCTTCCAAGCCTGAACAATGGCAGCCCATAGTGGGGACCTGACCCCTCTGCGTTGATAGGAGTAGAACAGCAGGCACGTCCATGTGTCCTCTGGTCTTGAGAGGTTTCACTCAACTGCTAGTGTTCTTTCAGCCAACTGCACTCGGTCCGGAGGTGGGTCTTCTAAGCAAGCTCGTACTATCAACTTGACTAACATTGCCTCGTTCTGTTTCTGTGGATCTGTCAGTCCAAGACCCCCTTCCTCTCTTGGTAGGCATAGCATTTCCCATGCCACCTTCGAGATAAAGGATTCCTGATCTCCGGAAAATGGTTTCCAAATGAATCTTGCAGCCCTCCTCCTTATTAGTTTGTATGTGCAGCTCTCAATTTTCCTCACTGCCCCTACAAACCATAACAGAGCAAATAATGCACTGTTCAGTACCATTGATCTTCCAGAGATGGATTGTCACAGATGCGGGGCCTTGCCCCATATCGTTATTTGCTGCAGAGCTTTTTGGACTGAGAGGCCGTCTTGAGTTGCCGCACAGTCCATTATTGATATTTGCACGCCCATAAATCTTTCTGAGTCATCTTTCCTCAACTCTCCTCATTCCCCATTCCACCACCGGCTCATGTTGCTCTGGCAGTAAGAACACTGACTTATGCCAGTAATTTACCTGGTCTCAAGCTAGGTCCATGTACAGCCAGGGGGTCCAGCGTTTCACAAATGCGGGACCCTCAGGAACAACAAATTTTGACGAGTTTTCGACCAAAAAACTCGGTTTCAATTTCGTTCAAAAAATAAGAGATGTCCATTTTGACGAAATGGCAGTTCAATGCCCTCATTGACTCCTGTGTGTTCTCCGAAACCGCAAACAGGTCGTCCGCCAGTGCCTTCACCTGATATGAGGAAGTTGCCACTAGCATTCCCCTGATTTGTGGGTTATCTCTAATATTGTTCAGGACAACTTTGAACCGTAGCGCACACAGCAAGGGGGTCAAGGGGCACCCCTGCCTCAAGGATCTAGTCAGTGGGAACCCCTCTAAGAGTTGACCATTGATCATCACCACTGCTGTTGAGAAAACGTACAATGCCTTCGCCCACATGATGCAGTTCTCCCCGAAGTCCATCCACTTGAGCATGGTCAACACGTATGACCAGTTAACTCAGCCATACGCTTTTTCCAAGTCAAGAAGCAGAACTGATACATTCAAGCCTTCTCTTTGCACCAGTTCCAGAGTTTCAATCGTCGTGATTATGTTATCAAAGATGGATCTGAGGATCTCCCCCTTACAAAGGCTGCCTGATCTGACTTCACCAGATCCGATAGATAGCGGCCTAACCTTCTTGGTTTCTTGCCAAGATGTTTGCCAGGATTTTGTAGGAGATGTTCAGCAGTGACACCGGTCTCCAATTTCTGATTTCCGATCTTTCTCCCTTTTTAAACAGCACCGAAATGACCCCTTTGCACATGTTGGATGCAAGCCTCCCTCCTGTCAACACCTGATTGTAGATCTCCACCAGCTCTCCTCCTATCGTTTGCCACAGTTCAACATACAACTCCGTTGGCAGTCCATCACATCCGGGCACCTTTCCTTTGGCCATTGCCTTTAATGCTTCCTTGGCTTCTTGTTCTGTCACTAGCCGATCCAAATCCAATCTGCCTGACTGAGACAAGTTGAAATTGATTGAGGTGTTTTCCCAGTGCCTGTTTCCTTCCTGTACCTCCAGTGTGATTGCCGCTCCTTGTGTCCGTGAGGTCAGGATGTCCTTATAGTACATCGTTGCATATGAGCATAGCTCCGTTAGTTCTTTGGCAACTGCTCCTTTACTGCCGAATGGGTGCTTTAGCTCAAACATTGAAATCAACGACTTGGAGGGAAGTAATTTCAAGAATGATTCCCGTGTCATTCTATCATGATATACCACCACACCCTTCACCTTCAGTCTTTCTGCCCAAATCGCAGACTTGCGCACTTGAGCCTCATCCCACTCTTTCATCAACTTTGCCCGTTCCCTTTCCGCATACCGGTCTTGAAACTGGGTGCTCCTCCATCCTTCTTTCTGCATACTCTATTCTTCTCCTCATCCTTTCCTCCTGCTTTTTTCTCTCGTATGCCAAGATCCTCGAGAAGACGTTCAACAAATTGGAAAATATTGTCACACCGGAGTCCGACCGGCCATCCAGCCAGAGAGTCATACTGCGGCTCTGCCTCCTATCATACGACATTTTCTTATTTTTTATTTTTTTCAATCAAAATCACACGACATTTGGCTGCCAGTGTTCTGAAAAAAAAAAAAAAAAAAAAAAGGAACCCCTCAGTTTTTTTTTTTTTTTTTTTTTTTTTTTTTTTTTTTTTTTTTTTTTTTTTTTTTTTTTTTTTTTTTTTTTTTTTTTTTTTTGAAAAGGCAAACAAACTTTTTATTCCATCAATGAGGCCAGGCCGGGGACCTCACAATTCTGGGCCCATTACCCAGCATGGGCTAGTGCTGGAAACAGGGTCCAGCGTTCCATTGCCTGACAGGCCATTTTCAAAAAAATCAACAAGAAAGCGCCAAAAGGAGCACTTAGCTCTGTGTGCCACCAATGTTCTGCTACCTTATTCCAGATCTCCAAACCCCTGGGGAGCGGTCCCACTACCGTCTTCCCCCGAACACAACGCACCCTTATTTTGGCTTTATCTGGCCGGAAATATAGCTTGTATACATTCATTTCTAGGGTGCGTTATGTTCGGTGGAAGATGGTAGCAAAGAGGATTGGATTGAACCCCTGAATCTGGACGGGTTTGTGCCAGGTGCAGAAAATTGAGACTGAACTGCTTTTCTGCATCTCTGCTGAAAACAAGCCCAAACGGCCACTCTAAAGCCAGTGAAATGCACTGTAAAACCAGTGTAATGCTTCAACCCTACAGTCTTCCCCCCAATACAACGTATGGTCATTATACTAGCTGAATTTAGACTGGAAGATAACCCAAATTCAGCTATAATGACAGTACGTTGCATTCGGGGGAAGACTGTAGGTGTATAGCGGCAATTTGAAAAAAGGGGCAACTACGGCACAGTCACGAAAACAGTTTGTAAATGCACTTCAAACTGCGTTTTCGCACTTCAGTCACGGCCCGAGTTTGAAATGCATTTCAAACTTGGCTCTGTAGCAGTTGAGTCAGGGCCCTCGTCCATCCACGAGCAGCAGATGAGAAAAAATGGAAAAAAAGCATCCCTTATGCGGTGATTGCGGTCCTATACAGGATGCACAGTACTTGTCTGGAACCCGTGGAATCTGCCCTGCATGGCTTGCAGGGCGCTACAACGACCTCACAACAAAAAGGAAACAAAAAAAACGATATGATTCACGGTCCTCACATACTGGCCAGCTACATTCCTCAAAGGACTGGTGTAACTTGAGCTCCCCACGTACGTGGATTCAAAGCTCCTCGTTTCTTTTCTTTTTTTTTTCTTTTTTTTCCTTTTCCTTTTTTTTTGGCTCCATCAGCGTTTGCCTGTGAAACGTGGCTGTGGCCGRGACATCTCGGCCGTGGCCCATCTGGGGKGTGGCCGAGACATCTCGGCCATGCCCCACCCATGGGGCTGGTTTTTTTTTTTTTTTTTTTTTTTTTTTTTCCGGCCGCACGGGGCGGCGCGATGCGGCGCCCGACCGGAAAAAAAAAAAAAAAAAAAAAAAAAAACCGGCCATATGCCTGACTGAACTGCTAGAAAACGCCACCTCGAGTTTCAACTGCATTTGAAACTCGGGGCCTGACTAAACTGCTAAAATGCAGTTTCAAATGCAATTACAAACTGTAACCCTGACTGCCCCGTAGTTACTTCTTGAAAAAATAAACAGGGCGAGCACATTGGGACAGCCTTACTCTATTATCACCTACATTGCTTGTAGCAACCACTGAGGGATAACTCAGGGCATACTCACACCAGGACCAAAAGACCTAAAATCCCAAAATCTGAGTCAGTTTTCGGGTCACACTGGAGAGGCCGGCTACCCAAATGCCTCAAACCGTGACCCTTTCGGCAGTGGCCTGCAGGGCCATGGGAGGACCCTTTTTGAGACCACCTCCAGAGGTGATCTCAAATTACCTCAGCCCGCCAAACAACTGAAAGTGCGGCCAGAAACATTTACATTTTTACAGTAGCTAAGGTCCACGCGTTATACTGGAGTGAAAAAAGAAAAAAACAAATTCCATCTTTTTGTTTGGTCCTCCCCAAAGTGACCGGGCGCACTTGCCCTGAGTGCAAAGTGTCAGGGTCGCGATGTCGTCCTTTCTGGACGAGGTCCGCCCGTGTGTGACGACACGGGGTCCCGCGACCAAATGCGTCAAAAACCCGAACCAAATGCCTCAATTTTTTGAGACTTGCCTCAATTTTTTGAGACTTCTGGTCCCCATGTGAGTATGCCCTCAGTTTACCGTCATCTGACACAATTGCAAAATAAGTATTTTTTGCCCGTAAGCCCTTTGTTTTCCAGTCTGCTAACACTACTAATCTAATAGCATTCTGGTTGAAGGTCTGCTGCGCGGGAATAGATTCCCTTCGGAAGACTTCAGCATTTTTTGCAGACCAGATGCCTTCCAAGATAACTCCTCTGCATATCAAGGCTGCATACCATTCTCCGCTTGTGAAGTTACTGCTCTCTGGGGCCTTCGCATGTAGAATGAAATCTACCCCCCATTCGGAAGAGGAGTCTGAGAAGGGCTTCCACCTATCCTTCCACCATTCCCAGATCTCATCTGAAAGGGGCCCTTTCAGCTTGGTTTTTGCGAGGGTGGTCAGACGGTTTCTTGAAAGGGCACAGGATTTCTAGTGCGAGCCTGGGACTGGACAGACAAACCACGCTGCACTGCACTCTAGGATAACTGTCAGCGTCTCAAGAGTGCTTCATGAGCGGGACGATCTAGAGTTTTTTTATTTTTTATTTTTTTTTATAAGGCCCCTGCGCAAGGCCTCTATCCTGGTGGTGGTAAGGGAACCACCGGGATTGAGGCTTTGCCTGGCGGGCCGCTCCATCTATTGGTGGGGAGCATCACCTGCTGGCAACCGGGTCCGGCGTCCCATATCCTTGTCTATTTTGCCAAAACCAATCCTGCAGCAGGGTCAGGTATCGGAGGGGAGCACTGGGGGGCACCAGTAGGGTCTCCTCCAACCTCTGACCCCTGCCAGGGAAGATCTAGAGTAAGTGCAACCACCACCGAACTCTAGGCCATTTGGGGACTCTGACAACTCATGACGCACTCTTGATTTTTTCACGAGCCATGAGGAGTGCAGTGAGGCTCGTAGGCTGAGCACATCCTTTTGCGCTGCCTTTCCCCAACGGCCGCTCTTTCAGCAGTCTTTTTTTTTTTTTTTTTTGGTGTCAACTGTAGCACATAAATGTGTACGACCGGTTTTCCTTCTTGAAAAAAAAAAAAAAAAAAAAAAAAAAAAAACCTATATTCTTCTCTAAATTTTGACCTCGCACTACGTACTTGCCACTACTAATTGTAGCCATACGGGGAACGACCTGCGCTCGATACGGCTGCGTCGGAACTTTTTAGCTGGGCAACCATTACCCAGTATTGGTATGGGCCTCGCCACACCACTCTTGAAACAGGGAAATTTTTCAAGAGCTGCCAGACGTTCTCAAGAGTTGGGTTTTCAAAAGTTTTCGGCCCCTCGCCACACAGCACTCGCAAAAGGGCCATGGTGTTGGACAAAGGATGAAAAACAACATTTGGACATCTTTGTTATTTTTGAATGGCGTCAGGATAGGGTTTGGCCAAGGGCGCTTGAAAACGCAGGAGTTGCAGGCTCGGGTTTAGAATCTTTCAAGAGCTGCTCTTGAATGAATTCCAAGAGCTGCTCTTGAAAGAGTTTCAAGAGCAGCTCTTAAAAGGGTTTCAAGAGCTGCTCTTGAAAGGGTCTCAAGAGCCACTCTGATAGCTCTTGACTGCCGCAAGTTTCAAGAGGCTGTGTGGCGATGCAGCAACTCTTGAAAATGAGTTTTCAAGAGTGGTGTGGCCAGGCCCTATGAGGGCCTTACCCCAACAACATTTGGCTGAGCCGACAAAAGGAAGAAAGAGTCTGGTGGCCTTTTGGTCTTACCAGACACAAACATAAACAAGGCACAAAAGAGTTGAAAACACACAAACCAAATAAAACACAAAACCTCCCAGGGGCCAGGACCACACTTATCTCTACCGGGGGTAACGCCCCCTTACACCCCACCTGTTTCGGCAGGGTGGACGCATTGGTCCTCCTACACCTAGACACTCTCCAACCTGTACTATCCCTCTTTCTTCCTACTGCGGAAAGAAACAACAGAGTGCACCTGGTTGTACCAGTTCATCTCCTCCCCTCCCTCCCCTCTCACACCCTGGTCCCTTCTTCTCTCACTCCCTCCCCTCCCCCTTCCATTCTCCTCTCTAGCCTATTGCTAACTTTAGCTAATTCTTTCAACAGTTAAATTCCTATCTTTCGCTGACTAAATAACTCCTCTTTTTCTTGTTTTCACATTTTCCGTCCCTTTTTAATTCCCCTACCTAATAACGGATCACTCTATGTATCCTACAACCTAACAGCCATCACTTTTGAAGCCATCCTGGTGATTCAAGTATGTTATCGCCTTTTACCATTCCCGTTGGCCCACGTTCTTGAAAACCATCTCCTGCCCTGATCTCTGCTCTGTGTGTTGCCCGCTTTTCTTCGGCAATCCCCCATTATTGCATTCCTGATCGGACATCTGAAGCTGTTTGTTAATTCCTTGTCAGTCATGGCCTTGTCATTGAAGACTCTTTTATTGCATCCTTGCCAAATCACCGCGAATCCGATTGCTCGGATCACTTCTAATTGTTATGTTGGCCACTAGCCCGCTCGAGCCTGTTGTTGCTCAGTATACAATGTCATACACTAGTAGCACTCTATGTATCTCTACATAGCACGGACTCTACCTTCAACTTGTTTCAAGGCGACTATACTAACCGCCTGAAGTTGTTTCACATATAGTCTCTGAGGATCCTACACAGACATATGTTGGTTTCGGGCTACATATCCCCAACCTTCTCACGCTTGCAGGTTGTCGGGATTCCACCGAGTAGAACCCAATGCTTGTTCCATGGCATGGCCTTGTTTTAGATCTGCTCCCATTGCTTGGCCCGTCATCCCCGCACCTG